TACATACATACATACATACATACATACATACATACATACATACATACATGCGACAACGAGATCTACATCCTGATTGAAACACATCTTGATCGACAAAAGCACCACTCCATGTGCCAATACTTTGAAGTACGCGGCAGACATGCCTTTGGATACCCTGCCCACAGCAATGCCACCAACGATGGCAACCATGGGGGAATCCTAGTCATCTATGACACAGCGCATGGGCTTACCCAGCTTGAAGCCTTTGAGATTGAGGGCTGTGGTTACCAAGCTTTTCTGTGGGAGGCCAAGGCAAGAACCATTTTGGTCGTCGCTGTCTACTTCAAGACCAATGAAGCGATCCAAGGCACCACCAATGCCCAAATCCTTGCACGGATCTTGGCACTATTAGAAGCCACAAGGCAGTTTGTCCTGGTTGGGGACTGGAATAACCACCCAGAACAGATCCAAGGAACAGTCCTCGGCTCCAAGTTCCATTGGCAGATCCTGGCTCCAGACGCAACCCTGCTCAATGGCAACACGGTTGACTACGCCATCATCCAGCAAACACTGGCAGCCTGCACCTCCATGACCACCGAGTGGGCAGTCCCCTGGCGACCACACTGCCTCCTCACCTATGCCTTCGAGCTTGAAGATGACTTCCGACTGTACCACCAGCTCCGGGCCTTTCCACCGTTGCCAAATGTGCCCGACATTGGGTTCCGGGCTTGGAACACTTATGTCTCGCAGGCAGACCAGCTTCAACTCTATGAGAGTAAACCCAACAGAGGAGCACAAGGGCTGGCGGACTGGGTCTCGATCACAGAGCAATACCTACTGCAGCAGCACCCCTGGGCACCACAGGGACGGGTGGCCAACCTGACCATCCAGCATCTCCCCTTGGTGCCCGCGAAAGCAGGAGGCATCTGGAAGCGAGGGAAGGCTGCTTATTGGGAACAAATACAAGCCCGCTTCACCCTGATCCAACACCAGCCAGCAAAGGCTCCAGGAGCCATCCACGGGCTCACCAAAGCACTCCAAAACCTCCAACACCAATGGCTGGGTGATCAGACATGGGGGCTTTTTCTCGATACATACCATCATTGGGTCCAGTACAAGGATGACCGCACTTTCGACCTTCTGCAACAAACAGTGCAGCATCAACTTGAAGCAGCACAACACCAGAGCAGAGAAGAAAGCTGCCTCCAATATGCGGAATGGATCCGGCAGGGCGAAACCAAAGGCCTTAAAGGCCTCTTCAGATCCCTCAAGGCCAGCGAGCTCTCATGGCAGAGACCCTACAGAACCATCCCTATGGCAGACCGCATGCGACACCGGATGAACGACTGGCACAAACTCTGGAAGCCCACCAAGGACAACCAGACCATGACCCGGCTGCCCCTGCAGGAACAGGCCAAACAGCAAGCAGCCACCCTGCCCCCACTCACCTTTGAGCAGCTCGGCAAGACCCTGAAGCACCTTCCAGACAAAGCCTGTGGGCCTGACGCCATCACCACCCAGCTGCTCCGCACAGCACCAAAGCAGGCCCTGCAACCACTGTTGAGCCTCCTGCAAACCATGGAAGCCAAGGCGGAACTTCCCACACAACTGACCATGAGCCTTGTGGTGATGCTGGCCAAAAATGAGAAGGTAGAGCGTCCCATCACACTAACCAGTGTGCTGTACCGGGTGTGGTGCAGAATGAGGAAACCCCTCCTCGACGAGTGGCAGCGCTCCCTCCCACCATCCATGGACTATGACCGGGCCAGACCAGGGGCCACAGCACTTCACGTCGCTTTGGAGCGACTGGTGCGCCAAGAAACTGCCAAGTCCCTCAACAAGCATGGCGTCACCGTACTGCTGGACATGAGCACCTTTTACGACACCTTTGATCTGCAAAGGCTTCAACAAGCAGCACAAGACCTCCAATACCCACCACTCGCTTTGGAGTTCGCCATGCAGGTCTATACCGGACACAAGGCCATTTTGGCGGAAGGGGAAATCAGCCCCTGGTTCCATGTCACCACAGGAGTTGCAGCTGGATGCCCACAAGCACCACTACTGGCCAAGACATACCTCCAGCCCATCCTGCACTCCTTTCAACAGGCCTACCCAGATCTTCACCTGAATGGCTGGGTCGATGACATTGGGTTTGACGGCAGCCACACCAATGCCCAACACCTTGCTCAACGAACACTGGAGGCTTGGCATCAACTCCGAGACAACTTGACTGAGGCAGGTTTGGTTGTAAACAACCACAAAACAGCCTTTATCGTCACCGACAAACGCATCCACAACGAACTCAGCAAACTACTCGGACCGCAAGACCCACCAATCCAATCCGTGATGAGAGATTTAGGCGTCGACCACGCTGCCAGTCGCAGACGGCGCATCACCACTTTGCAGCACAGGTTCCACAAACACAAACAACGACGGATCAAACTCCGCAGCCTCAAATTGCCCAACCTGCGCACACGGCTGAGGCTGCACCGGGGAGGGATCCAACCGGTGGCATTCTGGGGGTTCGAGGGACAGGGTTTGGCCCCCCGATACCGTTTAGCCCTGCGCCAAGGGCTGGCCAAACACCTCGGTCTACACCAAGGGGGTTTGCAGGACATCATCTACGACCAAGCCCAGCAGAAATTTGGAGATCCGGGGGACCAAGTGATCATCCATCACATAAGAGCCCTGCACACCCTCATCACCCACTGGCCAGTGGATCACATCCAACATGTCGAACAAGCCTGGATCACCATCCGCAACCAGCTCCGCAGCAAAACACACCAATGGTACAGCGTCAAAGGACCCATGGCAGCCACTTTGGCCTACCTCCATGAGTGGGGCTGGACAACAGACACGCTCTATCAGTGGCACCGACACGAAACGGCCTTCATGACAGAAGCCCACATCAATCTGAGAGACGATTGGGCCACTATAGAACAGACCTTGCACCAGGAAGCACAGCGACAACGCACCAGCCGCATTGCCAGCCGGAAGAACTGCCAAAACCTGGTCAGTGGACTTGATTGGACGGCAGCAAAGAAAACAGCGAAAGTGCTGAACAAGCAGCAACTCCAGCACATGAAGACCTGGAATCAAGCAGCCCTGCACTACCGGGAGGGTGACAAAATCAAGCCGTGCCCACTCTGCGGAGTCCCAGCCACCCCAAAGCACATTGTTTGGCTTTGCACTTGGCACCACAACCAAGGCCATGAACCATTGGCCATCGAGTGGACGGAGAGACTCCAGGATCCCCTGGAAGACCCCCTATGGGCACATGGATGGATCCCCAAGGAGCCGCAGGCGCCACAACCCCTGCAAGGCCACGGATGTTGGAGCACCCTTGAGCCTCTGACGCTGCAGCCCTGGCAAGGCTTAGCTGTGACGCTCGATGCCACCCCCTCATCCTACGACCCACGCTCCCAGGCCTGGGTGTTTGGACTATGCATCCACACTTTTTCCATGGGCGCCCTCATCCGCAAAGGCACCATCACGGGTATGGCCCCCGGATCCCAAACCAAGGCCAGAGCCTTGTTTAAAGGACTCATCACCCTGGCGAAATTCGTCCTCACTCCAACCAATGTGGTAGTACAACAAGATTGGTGTGGGAGGCTTGGACGAACCCAAGGAAGAGAAAAGGGTTCGAAGACTTGGCCCAAGGCTTTGACGACCAATTCTTCCAGCGAATCACGCCCTTGTACACCCACAAGAACCACAGGTCGCCAGACACACCAGCCAACGAACCACATCTCCGCAGGCGACAGCGAGATGCAGCACTCGCTGCATATGAGAGAGCTACCACGCTCTACGACCGATCAGCTGAAGACTGGCAAAGAACCCTTGACCTGGACCATGTGAGGATCTACAAACAAGCGGCAGCCAGACTTGAAAAGATCTTCAAAGATCCCCAGCACTACATTCACGACAAGCCAGTGAAGCGAGCTGGACACACCACCAAGCAATACAAAAAACGGCTCATCAACCAACGCAAGGCACCATGGCAGCCCAACAAGCGCCAATGGGTTCCCCACCGGAGCGGCTACCAATGCCAGACATGCCACACCAGGGTTCATCAGGCCCTCACCGTTGAGGTCATTGAGAATCACCTCCAACAGGATTGCGAACTCTTGACCCATGAGGCTCCAGAACCAGATCTCAGGCCGGACAAGCCCGTGGGGCAAAAGATCACCAGAGCCACAACCATCAAAAGGTTGCTTGAACTGCAGCAGCAACATCCACAGGCGGCTGATGAACACACCTTTCAAGAGACCACGGGGTATCTCAAGTGCACCAAATGCAGCCTCTCCGTTCACAAACGAACAAATGAGGAAAGCTTCCAAGCCTTCATCCAGAGCAAATGCATCGATGAACGCTACGACAAAGGCCACAGCGGGCATTCCAGCCATGCTCTCTGGCAAAAGGGCAAGGGCATCAAATGCCTCAACTGTGGCACACAAAGCCACCTGGACGCTGATGATCGCGTGATCATGACGAAAGCGCTCACCAGGGAGTGTCAAGGGAACACGCAAAGGTCCCCGACTTTGCTCCAGCTCTTCCGCACACAAGCATCAGCCAGTCAAGGCACACCACCAGAAGGCCTGCAAGAAGGCAACCTCACCGGCCAAGAAACCCAGCCAGAGCCTACGACACCACCGACCAGCGCAGCCCACCATGCAGGGCACTCGCCACCGGCACCAAAGAAGCTGCGGTTCTCACAGGTCGCTACACCTGATGGAGACCAGGCACAAGACGATGAGGGGGGCAACATGTCCGTAGACTTCTTCTGAGCCCTCTGAGCTGCTCCACTGGCAATGCCCACGCTGAGGCAATAGACCTAGGTGACCTGCCAAATGGCACCGTGCACACACCTCTAGGAAAAAA